TCTCGAACCCGTGGGCTCAGGCAATCCACTCACCTCAGCCTCCCAAAGGCGCGGGATTACAGGCTGAGCCACCAAGCCCGGCTTGCAATAAATTTTTTTTAAAAATCAGTCAGGTGGTGGTGCATGCCTGAAGTTCCAGCTACTTCGAAGGCTGAGGTTGAAGGATCACCTGAACCCAGCAGGTCGAGGCTGCAGTGGCCGGGAGCATGCCACTGCCCTCCAGCCTGGGTGACGGGAGTGAGATTCTGACTTGAAAAAAATAAAAAGATATCATCTTCCCTATTTCCCTCAGTCTCTTGCACACCTCCAAATCCTGTCCTTCCCAGTTTGTTATCTGGCTAAGGGGGGCAGTCACATCCATGATTATCATCCCATGAGGTGAGGATCTGTGTCCTCCCCCAACTGGGGCTGTGTCCTTCTCCCCTCAGATCTGTGGGAAACCCCTGGATCTGAGCAACCTGTCCCTAGAAGGCATCGCAGTGCTGAACATCCCTAGTACGCACGGTGGCTCCAACCTCTGGGGCGAGACCAAGAGACCCCCTGGAGATATCTATGGGATCAACCAGGCCTTAGGCGCTACAGCTAAAGTCATCACTGACCCTGATATCCTGAAAACTTGTGTGCCAGGTGAAGGGAACAGCCTTGGGAGCAGAGTGGGTGGGACTGGGGCAAGGCCAGCCTCCTTCTGGGGATGCCCTGCTTATGGAAAACCTATCTCCCTCCTTCTTCCCCCCAGACCTGAGTGACAAGCGATTGGAAGTAGTCGGACTGGAGGGTGCCATTGAGATGGGCCAGATCTATACCAAGCTCAAGAGTGCTGGACATCGGCTGGCCAAGTGCTCTGAGATCACCTTCCAGTAAGGAAGACCCCAGCCAGGGACCCTGCAGGAAGCGGGGGGGGCAGGACAGCAGAAGGGTGTGGGAATGGTGTTGAGGGATCTGACCAGATCTTCCTCAGTGACAAAGGGTCTGGCAACCTGGGAAGCAGAGTTTGGGTATTTGATTGGTAAGGAAATCTCCACCAATCTTCTGTGACCTCCCACAGCACCACAAAAACGCTCCCCATGCAAATTGACGGAGAGCCCTGGATGCAGACGCCCTGTACGGTGAGTTTTGTCTATGTCTGCCAAAAATGAAGCCCCTGGGCTCCAAGGGTCCAAAATCTCCATTCTGCGGCTTCTTCACTGATGCCTGGAGTGTCCCTGCACAGCACTCCTCCCAAACTCTGATTTCTCAGCCCCTGGCTTCCCTGACATGTCCTCACCAGGACCCCAGTGACCCACTCGAAACCTCACAGATTGTCTCCCAAATCTCTGCTGCTCCAGCCCCAAAGCATCAGGTCCTGCCTCTGAATGTGTTCCCTTCTCTTCCAGATCAAGATCACCCACAAGAACCAGATGCCCATGCTTGTGGGGCCACCCCCCCGCTCCTCCAATTTCTTTGGCTTCTTGGGCTGAGGGTGACACCCTCAGCTCCCAAGGTAGCCGTGAACCCACGTTCCTGACCCTGGACTCCGCTCCCTGGGCTCTGTACATTTTGCTGCCATACACTCCCACCAGCTCAGGGGAGAGTATTCCTTCCCCCTCACAGTATTTATTTTCCTGCACCACCTTACTGTTCCCCATGCGTGCGTACGCGCGCACACACCCCCCACAGACACATACACTGCAAGTGCCTCGTCTGAATAAAATGACTTTTTTCCCCATGGGATATCTGTTAAGTAAGCGGCACACTTCCTTCTTTTCACCTTCTCTCCTTAAGTGGCATAGATTATCCCAAGAAGCAAGGACAAAATAGCACCAGGTTCTGAGTCTTTATTTTGGGTGATGGTGGTCTCCCAGGGAAGACTGGAGGAAACAGGTGTTGCTGTCAACCCCTAGGAGATCGTGGCATCACAGGAGAGCACTCAGACCTGCTGCCCACTCAGGAGCGGGCTGCTCTCACCGGTGGGGCGGGTGCGGAAGACCCGGGGCAGACGCAGCCAATGGGCGCTACTGTGTGGCAGCTGGGGAGCAGGGAGAGCCAAGCCCTGCTGCGTGAGTCTGCGCCTGATAATGGGGAGAAGGAGGAGACTGGTTGGCAGTGAACAGAGGCAGCTTGTCTGTGCTTCTCCAAAAGTGAGGACACACCCATACTCCCAGTCTCTGTGGCCTTGACGCTCACTACCCTCCTCCCCACCTCCAGGGTTTATCTTCTCTCTCTTTTTTTTTTTTTTGTTTTTTGAGTTGAAGTCTCATTCCGTCACCCAGACTGGAGTGCACACTCACGGGCTCTGGTGAGCTTCCGCCTCAGTCTTCCAAGTAGCTGGAGCTACAGGCGCGCACTACCACAACCGGCTAATTTTTTAATTTAATGTAGAGACGAGGTCTTGCCAAGTTGTCCAGGCTGATCTTGAACCTGCAGGCTCAGGCAATCCTCTCGCCTTGGCCTCCCAAAGTGCTGGGATTACAGGTTTGAGCCACTGTGCCTGGACATCCTCTCTTATTTCTGTGGTCACCTCTGTTACCTTCTCACCCTATGATCTTCTTTGCTTTGAGGACTATGGCACCCCAGGCCTGGGTATCTACCCTTCTTAGAGGTGGAGAATTCCGTTCACCCAAACTGCCCCCCTTTTAATATTATTAACAGCAGTCACTAATGTCATTAGTTATTGCACTCTTGCTTCAGAGCCAGGTGCTATGTTCATATTGTTTATTTTTGTTTGTTTTGTTTTTTGAGGCAAGGTCTCATAGCTCACTATAGCCTCAAACTTCTGGGCTCAGGCAATCCTTCCACCTCGGCCCCCTGGGTAGCTGGGACTATAAGTGCACACCACCACACGCAGCTAATTTTTTTTTTTTTTTTTAGAGACGAGGTCTCCCTATGTTGCCTAGGCTGGTCTCGAACCCCTGGGCTCAGACTCCTCTCGCCTCCACCTCCCAAAGTGCTATGATTACAAGCATGAGCCATTGTGCCCACCATATATATATATATATTTTTTTTTTTTCTTTTTTTGGTAGAGATGAGGTTTTGCTATGGTCCCCAGGCTGGTCTTGAACTCCTGGGCTCAAGCAATCCACCTGCCTGCCTCAATCTCCTAAAGTGCTGGGATTTACAGGCATAAGCCACCATGAATAGCCTTTTTTTTTTTGAGTCAGAGTCACTCTATTGCTCAGGCTGGAGGGCAGTAGCATGATATTGGCTTACTACAGCCTTCAACTTCTGGGTTCAAGTAATTCTTCCACCTCAGCCTACCAAGGAACTGGAACTACATACAGGTGGGTGACACCATACCTGGCTTCTTATTTTTATTTGTAGAGGAGGTCTTGCTGTGTTGCCCAGGCTGGTCTTGAACCCCCGGGCTCAGGCAATCTGCCCACCTCTGCCTCCTATAATGCTTGGATTATAGGGGCGAGCCGCCATCAGGCCGATCCCTCACATTGCTTCTGATCTTTACAATAGCCCCACAGGGCAAGCATTACATTTTCCTATGTTTCAGAGGCTCAGAAAGTTTAAGCTACTTCTCCAGGGTCTGATAAGCGAGACTGCAGCCTGGGCCTCCCTAACTTCCAAGCCTGGGTTCTTTCCTGGGCACCATGCTTCCTTGAAGGGAGTGGTGGGTCCTCCTTCCCTTGAGGAAGAATAAGTAGTGATAATAAGGGATAAGGGGGCCTGATCTGGATGGTGGGACTCTTACCTGTATATCAGAGATGCAAGCACCACAGCCATCAGCACCAGCAAGACACCCACAATCAGGGGAGCCTGCCCAAGGCCTGCTTCTTGACCTGTGAGCAGGATCCCAGGCACGGCTTCAGTCAGTGCCTGCTCCCTGCCAGCTGGCCTCTGCCCACTCCCCTTCATCCTAACTCTTGTCCAAGTACGTACCAGGCATGACAAGTTGGGTGCTGACCATTGCCAGGCTGTTGGCATCAGCCAAAGACACATTGAGGCAGTAGGTCCCCGAGCCACCCTTCAGTACCTGGTGCAGAACCAGCTGGCAGGCTGGGCTGGGTGGCACAGGCTGGCACAGTCGCTGGGCAGGGGGCTGGCACCCTGGCGATGAGATGTCCATACAGGCTTCCTCAGGCAGCCTGGAAGAGGTGTCAGCTTACATCTGGGGATCTGGGAAGGGATACTGGACACCAGCGAGCAGGGCAACTAGTGGGACACTCACCCGCCTTGACAGGACACGGTCAGCTCAAATGCATCCCCCTCGCTGGACGGCACAGCCTGCAGAATCTCAGCACTTTCAATACCCTCTGCAGAGTTGCAAGATAAGTCAGGATTCCTCTACCAGGCCTTCCCGAAAGCCCTAGACAGGAATGCCTCAGGGCTGCTCCACCAATCCCATCCCTGTGTCTTCAGGCGAGGACCCTAGCCTTTGGGTGTTCTCCTTGCCTAAGGGCGTAATTCCTCCCAGAGTCTGCTTCCACTGACCAGCCCCAGGCTGCACGTGCCTCCCTCTAGCAGCCCCCAGCGTAGGCAAGACTCACGGACAATGTCCAGGGTGAGAGAAAAGGAACCATATCGATACAGGACACAATCCAGGGGGGCTTGTCTCTTCACCAGCCTCAAGGTGGCTGTACCATCCGTCGGGGGGCTCAGGGAACCTGGCAGGAGAGGAGGAGGCAAGCTCAGGGGCTGCATGACTCACCCAGACGCAGAGGCCAAGCAGGCATTTTTCCAGGTTGAGGTAGACCTGCTGGATCCTGGAGGCACTGGCTTGGAATCAGATAACACCTGGGAAGTCTCATTTTATAGATAAGGAACTGAGGCCCCAAAGAAGAAAACACCTGCTTCAGAGCCACACAGGTAGGGACAGAGCTGGACACTGTGCCAGGTCCTGGGGTGGAGAGTCAACACATGTTTGTTTATTCAAAAAGCATCACTATCTCATTCCTCCTTTTTGGCTTAGGGATGGGAACTAAGGGATGGGAAATGGGAGGATCGGGGTCTTGGAATCTGGGAAAGGTTTCTGTGCATTGACACATGAACAGGAAATGAGATATAAACACCGGGGGTGCCAAAAAATATATACACATTTTACGAGGTGTTATCTCTGTATTACTTTTAGTTTGCCATAATCAGAAGTATCTGGATGCTGACGATAACCACTCTGAGTACCTCTTGTAATTGCAGAAGTTAAACGTGACTTGTATTCATCTTTTGTTGTTGGTTTATATTAAGTATTACAGTTTTAATCGTTTTTTCTTTTCTTTTTCTTTTTTTGAGTTGAAGGCTTACTCTGTCGCCCAGGCTGGAATGCAGTGGCAGTGTCAACCTGCCAGGTTCCGATGATCCTTCCACCTCAGCCTCCAAGCAGCCGGAACTACAGGTGTGCGCCACCACGCCCAGCTAATTTTTTTATTTATTGTAGAGACGAGGCCTCGCCAAGTTGTCCGGCCTGGTCTCGAAAGTTTTTTGTTTGTTTTTGTTTTTTGAGTTGGAGTCTCACTCTGTAGCCCAGACTGGAGTGCAGTGGCCGCTCCCGGCCACCGCAGCCTTGACCTGCTGGGCTACGGCGATCCTTCCACTCAGCCTTCCAAGTAGCTGGAACTACAGGCGTGCACTACCACACCCGATTTTTTTTTTTATTTATTGTAGAGATGAGGTCTCACCAAGTTGCCCAGGCAGGTCTCGAACCCGCGGGCTCAGGCAATTCACTCACCTCAGCCTCCCAAAGTGCGGGATTACAGGCTGAGCCACCGAGCCTGGTTCGAAAGTATTTTTCGTTCTTAAAATGCTTATGCATCTTTTGGCACCCTCTGTATTATGTAAATGATCACAGTCTGTTCCCTGGTCTTGCCAAGAGTTCTTAAGAGTAGAGAAGCAACAAACTCTCTCCTCGTGGCCCAGAAGACCCTGGCTTCTTTTTAAATTAATTGATTAATTGATATTTTATAGAGACGAGGTCTCCCTATGTTAGCCAGGCCGGTCTCAAACTTATTTATTTATTTGTCTGTTTATTTATTTGATATTTTGAAGAGACAAGGTCTCCCTATGTTGCCCAGGCTGGTCTTGAACTTCTGGGCTCAAGCAGTATCCTCCTGCCTCGGCCTCCCAAGGTGCTAGGAATGCAGGCATGAACCACCACACCTGGTGACCCTGGCTTCTTGAACCCCAGTTCTATTCCCTGTCATCAAGAGAGACTCGAGGGCTTGGAGCCAGGCCGGTGAAAGCTCTGAGGGGACCACCATGCTCTAAGCAAAGGATCGGGCAGCATCCTGGAAAGACTTTGGGAGTGATGACACCCCACTTTAAGGAGCCCCACTCACACGGGTCCTCTTACCTGTAATACCTTCTGTAGGCATGACTGGGCTGGCGCCTGGACCCTCAGGCTCGGGGGTGGATAGCTCCCCTGCTGTGGTCTGCATGGACTGTGCAGCTACCCGGGCAACTGTGGTGCCAAGAGGCTCTGCGGGAGTTGTACCTGTAGCCTCTGTAGTTGGCATCTCTGCCAGAGTGGTACCTATGACTGCTGAGGTTGGCATCATCTCGGGTGTAGCACCTGTGCCCTCTGGAGTCCTTGTGACTTCTGTTGTTGGCACCTGCATAGCTGTGGTCCCAGAGGGCTCTGTAGTTGACACCTGACCAGCTGAAGTCCCTACAACTTCTGTAGTGGGCACTTGGCCAGCTGTGGTGCCAGGGGCCTCTGCAGTTGGTATGTGCCCATCTGTGGTGCCTGGAACTGGGGAGGAGCCACAGGAGGTGAGAGGAATGGCGGCCTGCAGGACCACCCTGGCAGTGACTGGGCCAGACTCCAGGTACGTGTGAGTGACCACAAGTGCCCGAGAGATTAGCGTCCCACTGTCGTCTCCAAAGTCCCAGGTATAGGAGAGGTCAGCCCCAGCCAAATAGCCACTGGGATCATGGAGCTGGATGGCAAAGGTCAGAGGCTGATTTCTCAGGAAGTGCTTGTTCCCTCCATCCAAGGCCTGCAGCTGCGACACGCTCACGGAGAAAGGCACCTGGTCTGGGATTGGAGCCAGAAAACGTGAGAACCAGACCTCAGCTTCTCCTTTCACAGCCATACTCTCCTCCCCAAGCTCACTGGCTGGCCCTTCACTGACTCTAAGCCCCATATCTCTCTGCCAGGCCTTCCTGGCCCTGCCCCTTCAAGTGCGCACACGATTTCCCCTCTCCCCTTTCCAATCTGGCCAAGCCTGCCCACCTTCTACTCTACCATTGGGCTCGACCCCTCCCAAACCTTACCAGTTATGGTGAAGTCCGAGCTGGAGTGAGCGAGGGGCACGTAGCTCCGGGGTCCCCGGTGGTGGTAGACAGTCACTTCCATGGTGTGTGTGCCCGGCACTGCCCTGTCTGTCCCAATGCTCAGCCCGGACACTGGGCCCCCTAGAACTTGCCAGTATTGACCTGAGGTTTTTGGAACGAAGAGGAGGGGAAGTTGCTGGTCAAAGGGAACCGAGGGGCAGGATTAGAAACGGGACCAGCCAGGCTCGGTGGCTCAGCCTGTAATCCCGCGCGTTTGAGAGGCTGAGGTGAGTGGATTGCCTGAGCCCGCGGGTTCGAGACCTGCCTGGGCAGCGAGACCTCATCTCTACAATAAATCAAAAAATCAGCCGGGCGTGGTAACGCACG